GTGGTGGGAATGCCCTTTTTTTTTCCTTTTCTTTTTTCTTTGCGACACTGGGATTTGAACTCAGGGCAGGAGCTCTTACTGCTTGAGCCAAACCACCAGCCCAGAAATGCCCTTGTTATTCCCAACTTACAGATGTAGAATCTTGGGCTCAGAGAGGTTGTGTCACCAAGGTCCCAAGATGCTGCGACTGAAGGCCAGGCACCCTGCTTCTAGAAACGAATTTCCTCTGGTCACAGCCAGCACAGCAGGGAGAGAATGTAGGAATCCAGGATCTCTTCCCTCAGTCTCTCTTTTTTGCAGGGAGAGAATGTAGGAATCCAGGATCTCTTCCCTCAGTCTCTCTTTTTTGGAGACTGCATCTCCAGAACTGATGTGGCCCAGAGGGAACAAATGGACGTAGGAATTCTGCCTGTGTTCACATCCAGCTCTCTGGGTAAAACCTGCGTACTTAGGCACTTTCTCAGGCTCAGACTCCCCATCTGTAAAGTGGGGATCTTTACTCTTACTTTGCAGAATGCCTTCCAAAATCAACGGAGGGAAGGAAGCTAGCAGAGGTGGGAGAAGGGCTGAAGTAATGGCCTGGACCCCAAAATTGTCAGGAACCCCCAACTGAGCTCAGAAGCAATGGCCACAGGTCTCATTGGATTTGGAGGGCTTAGGAGGGGTGGGGCTTTAGCTTGGGGAATCTGTTGCCTGAACCCAGGGTCACCTAGAACCCCCAAACAGAGCTCAACCACTAAGGGAGCCTCTGCCTCTCAGGGCAGCAGCAGGGGGACCCAGGTGAATGCAACACACAAATGACATTAATGAGGCCCTTCCTTGCTAATTAACAGGTTCACATGACAGAAACCTGAAAAGGCCAGTTTGTCCCAGCAAGCCCCAGCAGGCCTGAGCACTAGAGAGAGGCCTTTGTCCAAGGGCAGAGGGGACGCTGGAGGTTGGGCTGGGAGGAAAGGGGAAGGCAGAGGTGGGGACAGGGCACTACAGAGTAGAGGAGGGGGCAGGAAGGGGAAGAGCCTGGCACACAGGGCCCTCTACTTCCTAGGGAGGAATTCACCTGGAACATACTAGAATCTCAGGCTCCCTCCGCCCAAATCAGGAACTTATTTTAACAAGATTGCAGGTGATCAGATGCACGTTAATGCTGTCCCCAGCACCATGACCTTGAGTTATTAAGGGAATTGGGATGGTTTTTAACACAGAGCCTGGTTCAGGAAATGGTGACTGATGGAAATGATACGATCAGGGCTGGGTGGACGGCTCAGTGGTAGCTTGTTTCGCATACACAGGCCCTGGGTTCCATTCTCAGTAAGGCGGGTGTGTGTGTGTTATTATTGTTATTAATTAATGTATTGGCTGGGAGAGAAAGGACATCCTGTAGCTGTCCCCAGGTCAAGGGAGGCCCCCCTTTCTGGAGTTGAGCTACAACAAAGAGAGGCACTTATATAATGGAGCAGTGGCCAGGGTGTGTGTGTGTGTACTGAGCTGCCAGCAAACCACAGCACACCTCCAGGGGACAGGAGTAAACAAAAGTCTCCTTCACACCCTTGCAAAGCACAGGTCAGCTTTCCCTCACCTGGTGCGGCCGGGCTCCTCTCTGGGAGTCCCTGGCTTCCCACCCCTTAGCCTGGTCTAAAACACAAGGTCTGGGGACCCCGGGATGGGGACACCAGAACCAGCAGCCACCCTCAGGAAGGTTGGATTTTCCTGGTAAGGAGCTGGCCACATTCCTTACACACTTATTTTCAACCTACTGTATGCCCTCTAGGGAGTCCTGAGGGGAAAGCAAATAACCCAGCTCCATGTGAGGAAGGAAATCCCAAGGATTCTCAAATTTTGCAATTCCAGGAATCACCTGGAAACTGATTAAAGACTGAGCTACTGCCAGGGATTGTGACTTGGGAGCCTGTGGTGGGACTCCAAGACTTTGCATTTGAAATGCAGAGAGCAGGAAACAGAGACTTCGGCAAACAAGGGCATCCAGTTGCTGGGATGAGGTTCCATGGCTAAAGATAAAGAAACTCCCTCTTTTACTCCAGGCAGTGAGAGAGAAGTCCACAGCAGGAGCAGCTTTGTCTCAGGCCACAGCCCAGTTCTTATCGGGATTTGCAAAGATTCCCATCTCTGCTTTCTCAAGCTTTTAAAGAACAATCGTAAGGCTTTTAAAGCCCCTTGTTTGGGCTGGGGGAGGGCAGAAGATTCAGTTAGGATTGCAGTTGCATTCAGTGAACTGGAATCCGTGTTAGGAAAATTCTTCGAAGAAAAATTTACCCATCACCCTCTGCGCACAACTGTTTGCATTTTACCTTCGGCACCCAACCTATCCTGTGCAAACAGACTGTTAGATGGCTGCAGCCACAGGACAGGCAGTTACTCCTCAATTCCCTCACCCACATCTACACTGATTTCCCCCTCTTCCACCACCTGTTCCCCAAGAGCTGGGTATCACCGCATCCCAACCCAGGCTATCAGAGAATGTCACAGATTCAGGGGTCCTATGGGACTTGAGCTCCCTCCCTTCTGACTGTTACCTCTTGTGTACTGAAGCAGGTAGGGACAGGCTGCCCTCATAGCTGGGGATGAGCCAGGCTGGTGGCAGGGCACCTGCAGTCCCAAGAAATCAGGAGCTGAGGCAGGAAGAACTCTTGAACCCAGGAAGTAAGTATTTTAGGTATGGAGGGCCACACAGACTCTTGCAGCTGCATTGTGACCATGCTATTTTTTTAGAGCTCTTTAAAGCACGGCAATAGATTTCACCTTAGGTGGTCCCCTTGGGGGTCTGGATACCATGCCCACTGACCACAAGAAATCACTGAAGCCAGAGAGTGGCTGGTTCCACAATTGTTTTATTATTATTATTTTTGGCAGTACTGGAGTTTGAACTCAGGGCCTCATGCTTGCTAGGCAGGTGCTCTACCACTTGAGCCACTCCACCAGCCCTTTTTTATGTTGGGTATTTTTGAGATAGGGTTCTGCTTTTTACCCGACTGGCCTCGAACCTAGATCGCCCTGATCTCTGCCTCCTGAGTAGCTAGGATTACAGGCTTGAGCTACTGGTACCCAGGTGGCCCCACATTATTGACAGAGGCAGGACCCCAAGACAAGGCTGACATATCCATCCCATCCCAACCCCAACACAAGTCCCTCCCCTCCTCAACTCCATACCCAGCAACATACAGCAAGGAGGAGGGCCCCTGCCACACCCACAGTCAGCCTAGGGAACACCCCAGAACATGGGTGAGCCTGTGCTGTTTTCCACCCTCCATGTGCAGACGCAGTCGGCTGAGTCAACTGGAGGCCTGGCCCTGCCCTGAGGACCAGGAGGAGCTGTGCCGTGGGCTCCAGTCCTGCCCAGACTGATGAAGGCAGAAATTGGCTGGATGTGACAGGGCACCCTGTCTCTTTTCTCTCATTAGAAGGGACTGATGCCTGCTCAGCCAAGGCAAAATGAGGTCTCCTATTGGAGAGGAAGTGTGTGTCTGTGTGGGTAGGGGACATTCTTGAGGCAGACGCCCCAAGATCACTTTCTGCACAGAATGAATTCAGCTGCTAAGAGTGGGGTCTCCACCTGGGTTAGCCTCACAAGAGACTTTGGGGTCATAAACTGTCTGCTGAACGTCACTGAATTCGGGAAGATCCCAGCTCCACCATTAAGGCTGTGTGGTCTTGGGTATGTTATGTAACCGCCCTGTGCCTCAATCTCCTCTGTCAAACAGGAATGCTAATAACAGGACTTGACTCTGCATGAAAATTCAACAAGTCAACAACCCAAAGATCTTAGAATGAGGCCTTGCATCTAGAAAGGGATCAGTAAATGTTTGCTATGCAGTGTCCTCATTCAGGCCGGGGGAGGTGTTCCGGCTTCACAAGTGGCACCTGCCAGCACATGGTGTCTGCAAGTTCCTAAGCCGCACCTCCACCTCGCCCTGCCCCTCCTTGCCTTTGCTCCTGGTTTGCTCTGCCAGGAATGCCCTTCCTTCTCAACTCAATGCTAGTTCCGCTCGGAAGTCCTCTCTTCTCCTCATGCAAAGACTCAGAAAGGGCCGAAGGGCATATGGTTAGCTCTGTTCGCCTGCTAGCCTGAGATCCTTGGGCTAGAGAGAGGTGACATCTTGTTTTCCCTGCTTTTGACTGTGGCAACCTGGGTGTTGAGCTGACTCCATAGTAAGGGCTGAGGCTGTAACTTCCTCTGTGGCCAGGCAGTGGCTATAAAGGATGGTGAAGACAGTGGTGATGGTGTAAGCAGGTGAGCTAAGGCAGTGACGCGTGACTCTCCTTTGCCCCCACAGCCAGACCTGGGCTGGCCAGTGTTTTCAGAAGTCTGCAAAGGGATCGGTAGCAGCTGGAGTCTCAGAGACCTCCGCTGTCCACCTCTGGCTCCTCAGTCTGAGCCCATGGACAACCCAGGCTTCAGGCTGACCTGGCAAAAGCCTGTGTCCCCAATAAATGGCTCACTGTCACAAACAGGCTGGTAACCTGTTAGCAGTGGCTCAGGTTGACTTTTCTCACGTACACAGAGCAAAATGTGTGGGCGCCCTGCCTGTGCAGAGCAGACACGGTGGGCCAGGGCTGGGGAGAAGGGAGGAAGAGGAAAGCGGGAGGGTGATGCCCGGCTGCCTCCATCTCGGGAACACCTCTGACTCAGAGAATCCGGACAGGGGACATGCGGTGGGATGGGGGAGACATGGCAACCCCAGGAAGTCCTTCTGGCCGCAGTAACAAACACAAGCACAAGTTCCACCAAGGGGAGAAATCCAAGCACTTGGGAGAGGAACTGGAATGGCACACGGGGCAGGCAGAGGTCTCCCAGACCCCTGTGAGGAGGGTCCCCTTCCCTCCCCGGCTCTTTCCCCGACTCCCCGCCATCGAAGCTCCTTCTTGGCGGGTCCACGGGTTCCAACGTGTCGCCTTCCCTGCGCCCAGAGACCCGGGACACCCGGGAAGGAGGTGGCGCCGCGGGCCGGTCCCTGGAGCCCTCCCTGACCGCAGGGCGCACTCACCAAAATCCCGGGTCCCCTCCTCCGGGGCCTCCTGGGTGAAAATCCACGGGGGGTTGGTGGCGTAGAGGGAGGTGGCGGCGGGGTTGGCGTGCCTCTTCCCGAAGAGCTTGCTGAAGGTGCCCTGCACCGTCTGGTTCTTTTTCATGCTGCCGCAGGCCGCGCGGGCACCGGGGAAGGACCTTGCGTCCCTCGTCCTGCCCTGCCCGGGACTCCACTCCGCACGGTGTCCCCCGGGACTCTACCGGCCCATGTCCGCCGCTGTCCTCCCCGCCCGCGCCCCGGGAACTGCGCGCTACCTGGACAGGTGAGAGGCTGCGGCTGGGACCCGGCCCCGCCCCACGGCCGCCACCGCCACCGCCACCGCAGCGGCCGCCCCGCCGCCCAACTCCCCGGGCCGCATTCCTTCCCGCCTCCGTCTACAACAGGCCATTGTTGGCACGGCCCGGTGGGCTGGGGACTCGGCCCACCCACGCCCTGCCCGGGAGAAGAGTCGCCCCCTCCCCCAAGCTCCCTCCCCGCCTCTCCTCCCCCAGCCAGCGAAGGCGCAGGGAGTTCCCTGCTTCTCAGGGCGGTTCATGGCCAGGTCAGGTGGACACTTAGGAAACAACTTCTGTGTCCCGCAGGAGGGACATCCCTGGCCAACGCGAGCGTGTCAACGCATCCTATGGGTCCTCACAGCTGTGGGGCACCAGGCTTCCTTCCGTGCGTAGAGGGAAGGCCCATAGGAAAAAAAAAGCTGGCAAAGCAGTAAAATAGCAAACTGCTGGGTGGTGGTGCCCACGTCTGTAATCCTAGCTGCTCGGGAGGCTGAGATAGGGAGGATCGCAGTTCGAATCCAGCCCAGGGAGATAGTGCTCAAGACTCTTATCGCCAAAATAACCACAGCAAAAATGGGCTGGGGGTGTGGCTCACGGGTAGAGTGCCAAAGTGCAAGGCCCTGAGTTCAAACCCCAATCCCATCACTAAATAAATAAATAATAAAATAAAATAGCAAAGTGGTCCACCAACCCCATAGGCAGGGCTCCAGACAGAAGGTGGGATGAGGGCGTTCTTGGCATTGTGTAGATAGCAGATTCTTTTTTCCTGGAGGGTTAAGTGAATGGAAGTTTTCGAACCCAGCGTTGGGGAGAACCCCAGCTCACTCACAGGGAGGACAGGCAGTGGTCTTTCAAGGCATGTGCTGTCTTGGTCTGACCCAGTCAGGGAAAGGCTGTGCCCTGGGGAATGTCCTACTGGAGGAGGGCCTGGCAGACCCTGTGTTGGGAAGGGGAGTCAGGCCAAGGGTTGTCCTGTGATGTTTTCTGGGTGGCAGGGACTGAAGGCTGGGTGGGAGTGAGCAAGTCACTAAGTCATCTGTTTCCCCAGAGCCTGCCACCATGTTTCCTCACCGCCCCCCCAATGTGGTGTCAAGAGCATTTCATCTCTACTTTTTTTGAAAATTTTCCCCCCAGTACTTTGACATCCATTAAATAGAAATGAGAGCATTCTAAGCGAGTCATGATGCAGCTGTTACACTCAAGAACTCTAATGCTGAAAGGCCATTACCAGCTACTTCCCACTCCATATTAAAAATGTCTCCAGCCGTGCGCTATGGCTCACACCTGTAATCCCAGCTACTCAGGAGGCAAAGACCAGGAGGATTGTGGTTCAAAGCCTGCTTAGGAAAATAGTTTGTGAGACCCTATCTTGAAAAACCCTATCACAAAAAATTGGGTGGTGGAGTGGCTCAAGGTGAAGGCCCTGAGTTCAAACCCCAGAACCACAAGAAAAAAAAAAAAGTCTCCATTATCCCCAAAACATCATTTTAATTTTTTGTTTTTCTTTCCCCCATAGCCCAATCAAAATTCACATATTACCTCTGCCTGTTCTGTCACTTTAATCTCTCAGTTTAATAGTCCCTTGTTTTGGTTTGTTTTCCATGACAGCGACATTTCTGAGAAGTCCTCTTCACTTACCTCAGCTACAAGAGATGAGACATGAGCCAGGCCTTTAGGGGTTGTGGCTGTGAGGTCATTGTTTCTGAGATTCTAGGTGAGAAGGGACTGAGGGACAAATGGGGAGAACAGTGGCACCTGATGTTCCACAAATGGTTTTAGTCAGAGACACACCTGTGGCCAAGTGTCCCAGCCCTCTCAAGACCACAGCAGTCCTGAAACCAATTGCCCATTGTGCAGACCTCCTGGTAGCCTAGGACTATGTTGAGGTCCCTCCCACCCTGGCTAGCTACCTACAGCACCTGGCCCAGCAGAGCGGCCATCGAGGGGCTCCATTCCTATACAACTTCGGCAGTGTGGCTAATATTCTTCTTTTAGTTTTATTTATTTATTTTAAGCAGTACTGGGGTTTGAACTCAAGGCCTTGAATTTGCTAGGCAGGCACTGTACCACTTGAGTCATGCCCCCAGCCCTTTTTTGCTTAAGTTATTTTTCAGATAAGGTCTCACTTTTTTCCCAGGGCCAGCCTCAGACTGCTATCCTCCTCCCTACTCCTCCTGTGTAGCTGGAGACACAGGTGTGGACCTGTGATCACATCTGCCTTATTGGTTGAGAATTGGGTCTTGCTAATTTTTTTGCCCAAGTTGACCTGGAACCATGATCCTCCTGAACTCAACTATTGCTGGAGTAGATGGGATTACAGGCATGTACCACCATACCCAGCTTCACAAAATTAGTATTCTTGAGAACCACTGTGTACTAGCTCTGGGCTATGACAGAGCCAGAGGAATCAAACACTTGGCTCTTAAGTCCGAGGTGCTGTAGTCTATTTGGGGAGACAGGCAGAGAGCTGAGGGGAGACAAACTGTGGGGAGGTAAAGATGGTGGTGGTGCAGGAGGAAGAAGAGGAGGAGACTGATGGTCAGGGGAAGCCATTCAGGAGACATCTGCACATGGAGGGGGGATTGACTATGGGAGGGAGCTCACAGCAAGGCTGGCCAGGGTACGGAGGACTAAGAAAGCCAGCTGGAAAAATTGGAAAGAACTGAGTACCCACCAAGTGGTGAGGTTAAATTGCTAGCTGGGTGTGGTGATGCACTCCCATAGTCTCAGCCACCCAGGAGGCTGAGGTGGGGGGATCACCTGAACCCAGGAGTTGGGGACCAGCCTGGCAACACAGTGAAACACCATCTCAAAAAGAACCCCAAAAAAACAAAAAGTGAAGAGACCCTACAAACCAATGAGTGAGCTGGCTGTATCCAGTTATCTGCAGGACGACCTGATACACTGTGGACCTACCCATGTGTGTAGCAGTGTCCTATGAGCTCAGGAGGCGGGGCAGGGACCTACAGTCTCCTTTGCTTGTTTTGGTACAAAGTAACTTTGAAAAGATACATAAAAAAACTAGTAAAAGTGTTATGGTGTGTAGGTGGAGGGAACTAGGAAAAAGGAAGAGATGGGGTTGGAGGGAGAATTTTTACAGAAGTTTTTTTTTTTTTTTTAATTTCAAATTATGTAAGTATATTTCCTATTTAAAAATTAAAGGCAGGGTTTGGTGTAGATGAGCCCAGTGAGGTCCAGAAATCACCATTATCTGTGTTGCCCAAGGTCTGATTAGGATTGGGGAATCTCAGACCCCATCCCAGACCCTGGCAACCTCTCTGTGCCTCCGTTTGTTTATCTGGAAAATGGGCTATTCATTTAAGGGCAGCAAGAGACTCAATGAGCTGGTAAGACTTAATGAAGCTGAATTTTAACAAGATTCCTGAGATGCCAAGGTGCACCCGAAAGTCTGAAAGGCCCTGGCCTAGAGCCAGTGCCACCCAAGTTTGCTCCAGGAATCCTGAGCAGGCGAAATTTGTGGTGCTGCTGAGGACAGAACCCCACTAGGGTGCACACTAAGCAGGCACTCTACCACTGAGTTACATCCCAGCCTTTAGCAGCTGTGTTTAAAAGTTGCTCCTTTAAGACTATAGTTTTTAAACCTGTTGAAATCACCATAAGAAGAGGTCTAAGGTAGAAAGGGGAAAAATGGAGGGGATGAACCAATTCGGGTTATAATACATATACATGGAAATGTCACAATGAAACTTTTGTATAGCTATCTTAAACAAACAAAAATGACTTTTTTCAAAAACAAAGAACAGGAAGATAACACAGGTCCTGGCTGGGGGGCTGGTACCAGTGAGAGTGGGGAGGACATAAGGAAAGGGCGTAAGAGGGTGAAGATGGTGGAATATTATGTACTCATGTATGAAAATGGAAAAATGAGGCCTGTTGAAATTCCCTTATCAAAGGAGAATGATGGGGGGGGGTGAATTCAACTATGATATATTTTGAGCACCTTTGTAAATGTCACAATGGCCCCCAGTACAACAATAATGTGATGCTAAGGATGAATAAATAAAAGCTGACCATTTGACAGATGAAGGATGGATGGGAAGGAGGAAGGCTGGAGGGCTAAGGGAAGTTAACTGAGTGGCCCATCGATTGGTGAGTTGATAAAGCAGGAAAGGATGGGAGCCTGGATTTGGGTGCTCACAGTGGAAACAGAAGGAGCATCATTGTTAGATGTAGGTCACTGTAAGGAAGAAAGAGCTTGGTAATGCCTGGCATATAGGGGACATGCCTGTCACATAGCATAGCACCTGAGGAATGCCTGCAACTGCTCCTGGGGTTGTTAGGAAGATCGTGTGCATAAAGGGCACCCCGGGGTCACCCTCAAGTGTTTATTCATTTCTCCCCCAGGCTGTTCTTCTTGGTTTTGGATGAGTCTTGGTTGGGAATGGAGGACACTAGTGACCAGGGTGACACATGGACACCAGAGGGCTTTGAGGCTACAGTCTGGGTGTCAGGCTGCTTCCTGCCTGAAGTCACTTATCTCGCCCCGACCTCATTGCCTTTTGACAAGGGCTGGGGGAGTCTCTAGAAGGCCTAAGTTCAGCAGTGAACAACCCCCTCCACCCCCCCAAACCCTTCCAGTTTCATTTAGCAGCATTTGAAGTGAGTTCCCTGGGGCAGGGTCAGCGCCAACTCTTCGTCCAGCTCAGCATTGTGTGTTGTCGCTGTGCAGCCCCAACGCTAGTCATCTAATAACACCACACACCTGCTCCTCCAGTAAAAGAAACAGCCAAATGACAGGCTTCCCTCAAAACAGACAAAAGCCCAGTCCTGTAATTAAATCTCTGCTCAGTGATTACTGTGTGACCTCTTAGCGCCGACTCTACTGTCCAGTTCTGGAATGTGGGTGGCACTGGGATGTGGAAGTTGCAGT